GATGTGCCTGCAACCCAGGTACATGCCCTTGACCGGAATCAAACCTGGGACCTTTCAGTCCGCAGGCCGACGCTCTATCCACTGAGCCAAACCGGTTTCGGCTGCTCCAAGGTTCTTAAACAATTCTGGGACTTGAAAGAAGAAATATGTCAGTTCTTAATAACTAAAAATCAAGACACAAGCTTGATATATATTTGATTTCAGAGAGCAAGGGGAAGATGGAAACATCAATGATGAGAGAGAATCATTGATTGACTGCTTCCTGCACATCCCATACTGGGGATCGAGCCCGCAACCCAGGCATGTGCCTTGACCAGAATCGAACCCGGGACCGTTTAGTCCACAGGCCGCTGCTCTATCCACTGAGCCAAACCAGGTAGGGCAAGCCTGTTTTTTGACACAATATGGTTGCAACATTTATCCTTCATGGTTGATATAACAAAACACTCATATGATTTAACTTAAAACTGCGAGGAAAAGATCAGATTATTACAAACATGCGTCACCAAGTCAAAGCATTCAAATGTAAGCTAGTTCTTTGGGTAAAGCAGTTGAAAAATGAAGATTTAATGCACTTTCTGACATGCAACATGAACAAATCCAGTTTAGGTGAAACTGCATTGTACCAAAAGTACGCAGAAAAAATGTTAAACCTTAGAACTGAATTTGAAACAAGGTTTGCAGATTTTAAATTTTTGGAAGACAGGTTTCCTTTGTTCGATTTTTTCAGTAAATATAGAATCAATACCTAATCAAATGCAATTGGAATTGATTGAGATCCAGTGTGTTGGTGTGCCTGAATTTTACAAATATTTACCTGCCAGGTTTGAAAATACTCGAAAATTCACATATGAAATTATTTCCATGTTTGGAAGTACGTATTGGTGTGAGCAGTTATTTACAATTATGAAAGGAAATAAGTCTCCTGTCAGATCCAGAATTACTGACATTCACCTTGGGTCAGTTTTGAAAGTAATCACTGCGAACAAAATTTCCCCCAAAGTAGGAAAGATAGCAGCAGAGAGATGCCAAGTGTCAGGAAGAAAACATTAAAATTTCTCATTGCTCTTGTTCTTTTTTGATACTATACTTTTCGAAATAAACCTACGTTTCTATGAAAATTGCAGCTTTTGTTTTTTTGCGGCCCACATAAACTTAGACCTTGTTTATTTGCCCCGTGTTCGCCTGTGAGTTTGACATGCTTGGTGTAAAGCAATAACAATTATTTTAGTTTACCTCACAGTTTTCAGGGGTTAGGAATTTGGGGAGAGAATTTTGTCTGGCAGTTCTGGCTCACATAACTGCAGTCAGATGATGGCTGTGCTGGAACCATGGGAGACTGAAGCAGCTGAGGGAGAACCTAGGAGCTCTCTCTTCTTGTGGTCTCAGGGTCTATCCATGTGGTCTCTCCTAGGGGTTAGTTTGGGCTTCCTCGTAGCATGGCAGCCTCCAGGCTATAATGGCCAGCTTCCAACATTGTCCTTAATGATTTCCACCTCCTGGTATCCATACCATTGTGCAGCCTCTTCCCACACTACACAGGGCTGACTGTGCCCAAGAGGGCAATCCAGAAACGACGGTGTGTGACTTTAGAGGGTAAGTCCTAGAGACATTGTGGCCCCCATCTTGCTTCCTCTTAGATCACTCATCCTGAGAGAAGCCAGCCATAGATAACAGAGACTTTCCATTTCAATAGCTCAGAAAATAAAGCCCAATATTTCTATCACTTTAAAACAAATGTTTATTGAGCACCTGTTATGTGCCAGGGTTAGGGGCCTGGAATAAATCAGTAAAGCAGACAATTATTCATGCCCTGGTCTCACATTTTAGAAAAGGAGAAGATGAGCAGTTATATTAAATACATAAAGTATATAGTATGTTGATGGTGCTAAATGCTACGGATAAAATAAAAAGTAGAGCGCAGTTGGGGAGGATGGGGGTTATTGCAATTTTAATTAGGACAGTCAGGGTGTGCTTCATTCAGTTGACATTTGGGCAAAAGGACACGAGGGAGTAAGCTATGTAGATATCTAGGGGATGTTCCAGGTACAGGAAACAGCTAGTGAGAGGCCTCGGGGTGGAATGTGCCTGGTATGTTTAGGGAACAACAAGGAAGCCAGTGTGGCTGGAGCCAGGGAGCATGGGGGTAAGAACCCAGAGAAAAGAGGAAGTGGGGGAGGAGGGGGAGGGCTTTCTGGGCTTCAGTTCTCTCATCTGTAAAATGAGCAGAATAATAGCATATATCTCCGAGAGTTGTTATGAAGATGAAATTAGTACATATAAGGCTATCGGAAGAGTGCCTGACCACTGTACACTAAATGAGTAACAGTATTCTGGAAGAGGGATCATGGGATGCGTGTCCAATCTTAGCCGCTGGGGGGCAGCAGAGTGTGGGCCGAGCGCCAGTCCGGCGGGCCCAGTCAAACCCTTATGTTCGCGCACGCCTCCCGCCTCCGTGGCAGCCAGAGCTGCCAGCTCCGTGACGGGTCCACACAGCGGCTACGCGAGCGCCGAGTTCTCGCACACGGCTCGCACCCGAGCCCATGCTGCTCTGCGCACGCTCCTGGCCGGGGCACCCTCCCCTCTCCCTTCTTCCATGGGCTCAAGCAGTGCCGGCCTCCGGAGCTGAGTGGCCTCCTGACTTTACTCCAGGATATTGCCAGGATGTTGGAAAAGAAAGGGTGGGAGGGGGTGTGTGTGTGCGTGTGTGAGTGTGTGCGTGCGTGTGTGAGTGTGAGCAAGAGAGTGTGTGTGTGTGTGTGAGAGTGTGAGCGAGAGAGTGTGTGTGTGTGTGTGTGTGTGAATGAGTGTGCGTGTGAGGGGGAGTGTGAGTGAGTGTGTGTATAGTGGGGTGGGGAGCGAAGAGGAAATCCAGAGACTCAGGGTGCCCCTGAGTCTTCACTTAACCTTTTATTATTTTTTTATTTTTTAAATATATATCCACGGATTTCAGAGAGGAAGGGAGAGGGAGAGAGAGAGAGAAACATCAGTGATGAGAGAGAATCATTGATTGGCTGCCTCCTGCATGCCCCCCACTGGGGATCGAGCCCGCAACCCGGGCATATGCCCTGAACTGGTGACCTCTTGGCTCCTGGGTCGTTGCCCAACCGCCAAGCCACACTAGACTGGGAACTTAACCTTTTTTTTTAAAAAAAAAAAACACCTAAAAACTTTTAAATATTTGTAAAATAGATAATAATGGTAAAGAAAAATCTAGTCAGTACAAGTACACACACACACACACACACACACACACACACACACTGAAAAGTCTCCCATCACCTCTTGCTTGGAAAAAATAATTGTCTTTTCACTGGTTTCTGTGCCTTTGGTCCCACCAATCCCCATATTCCCATCACTACAGCCAGAAGGTTCTGTCTAAGGAGCAAACCTGACAAGTTAAATCTTTTCCGTGGCTTTCTCCGTTCGGGATCTGACTCTAGACACCATCCACTCCTCTCCTTCCCAGTGTCCACGTGGCTGCAGCCATCTCCTCAGATTATCCAGGCTACTCTCTATGTTGCCATCATGCCCTTGCCAGTCGTTCCCGTGCCTGGCCGAGTCCTACTCATGCTGCACCTGCACCAACGTCCGCGTCCCTCTCTGGTGCTCCCTCCACCTCCTGTGCAGCCCTCATCACAGCTGACACGGAAGCTGTTTCCAGGACAGGGAAGGGTTTTTTACTTGATTCAATACCCGACTTCCCCTCCTGGAACAGAAAAGTCACCCAATCAGTTACTTACAGGCATGAATGAATGGTCACGTCTAACACTTATATAGTGCTAATCCCACACCTGGCATTATTCCATGGACATCCCATATATAAATTCACGTAAGTACACAACAACCCCAAGGTTGCTACATCCTCATTTTGCCAACATGGAAATTAAAACATTGAGCAGTTTAAGTAACTTGCCTCAGACAGCAAGTGGCTGAGCTGGGGTTTGAACTGGGCAGCCTGGTTTCCGGTAAATTAACCAAGAGCTGGAAGGAGAAAGCCAGACCTCAGGGAAGGAATCCAGGGGTTTTGTCTCTGCGCTTTACATCTAAGGATCTTCTCGCCCTCTCCCGTTTCGCTCCCAGGGAGCCCATTTCATAGACTGAGACAGTGGTCGGCAAACTCATTAGACAACAGAGCCAAATATCAACAGTACAACGATTGAAATTTCTTTTGAGAGCCAAATTTTTTAAACTTAAACTATATAGGTAGGTACATTGCTATTAACTTAATTAGGGTACTCCTAAGGCTTAGGAAGAGCCACACTCAAGGGGCCAAAGAGCCGCATGTGGCTCCGAGCCGCAGTTTGCCGACCACGGGACTAAGAGACAGAGGGCCGCACGGAGACCGCAGATAACGCCAGAAACCCCGGGGAGGGAGTCGTGGAGTTTATTTGGGTGCTCGCGAGCAGGGGCATAGCCAGAAGGAGCGGGCACCCGGGTTGAGAGTAGTTCGCTCCAAACTACAATTCCCAGGAGGCACCGGGCGCCCACAGCCCACGCGACGTCACCGCGGCAGCGGGCTAGGGCAGCTCTGCTAGCCG